ACAATACTGCTTATAATACAATAACTAATGAATATAATTATGGCTGCAAATTTTTACCCGGGCAAAGCCCGTGCTTGCCCGGGTCCAACTATGCCTATGGCTAGGTCTAAGCCTGCAGCAGAGTTTAATGATGGTTCTCATGATGATACTACAGAGTCTCTGGTTTCTAATACTATAGAACACAGTAGTAGCATCCTTAACGAAAGGTTGTGTGATGATGCTACAGAGCAAGAAGTTGTTTCAGGCTCTGTATATGATCATAACCCAGAGTTATGTGGTGTCAAAGAGTATGTAGTTGCTTTAGCTGATACCACAGATCCTATTGATCTTCCTAATGTCCCAGACTACAATGATGGCACTGTGTATGATCATACTCTTACAGTATGTGATGCCACAGGGTCAATTATTCTTCCTGATCTTCCGGTACACAATGATAGCTCTGACGTGTATGATGCCTTGTGTGATGTCACACAATTTACACTTGCTTGTACTGCTGATGATGAAATAACTGTTAGAGATAAGCAGTTAATGAAAAAACAAGCCGAGAGATCAATGGTAAGTTATTACAAAAATCACAAGAAAAACCTTGAAAAGGCAAGAAATTAATATCAAAAACATAAAGAAAGATTGAATAACAGTAAAAAAATTATGCCTTGAACCATGAAAAAAATTAAAACAGTTACAGGATTATTATGCCTCTAATTTAGCACAAAGGAAAAAATATAGGGACGAGTATAATGCCTCTCATAATCAGCAATACGAGATGATGCTAGAAAGCATTATGCTGCTGTTGCTGACACAAAAAATGCCAGGCTGAGGCTAAAATACTGATTACGTCTGAAGTCACGCACAAAAAGTGTAGCACCTAAGAATCAAAGAAAATTAATAGAAAAAATAAAGAAAAAGAGACAAAGAAAAATGCCACAAGATTAAGACAAAATAGAAGGGCTAGGTATGCATTAAAGCTAACTGAGCCTAAACAGGAGACTAAACAAAAATGTTTCATTCATTAGGCAAAAACTAGCTAAAAATGTTGGGGTCCAAAAGCAAGTGAAAGTTGCTTTCAGTGTTGATAAATTGCTACCAATTGCTGTTACCCAATCTAGTATTAATTTAATTGCCTCGAGGAGACTAGTTAATTTAATATTGTATATACGTAAGCACTTTGCTGGTCTTTTGTTTGGAGTAATTAAAAAAGTGAATAACAAATACATTACATTGGCAATGGTGATTTCAGTGAGCAATATCATGTAGCCAGTGGCGATCCTTACTTTCATCAGGCATGTTATAGGAATGCCTCATCAATTGATAATGATGTTAATATTTATAATTATGTAGTGATAGTATTTTTTAATAATTTAAATGATTTTAATGCTATATTATTAAGTAATGAAAACACAAACGATAATGACACAAATAACGGTACAATCTTAAATAATAAAAATATCATTGCACAAGATAGCGATGGTGTGAATACCGTACTGGTAAAAAATTTCAAGGGTATAAAATTTTGTGTTTTAGGTAAAAGCTCTTAATTCTTTAATTTCGAGGGGGTTAAATTTCGCATTTTTGCATGTGCACTTTCATTAAGTCATTGATTTTCACGTGCTACGCATGCGCAGTGAGCATTTCCATGGTATTAATTTTTGTGGTTGAGAAGTCACCTACGAAATCCACAAAATTAAATACCCAATGGAATTTTATACCCCACGGAATTTTATACCCGTACGGTATGAATATTGATAAAAATATTCCAGAAAAAGATGACAATGTACATGTAGACAGTGGTAAGAGTGCTAAAAGGAGCACAGTAAAGATTGCATGTACAGAAAATTGCAAGCCATTGTCAGATTTTGAAATGAAGATAATAAGAAATTTAAAAAGATTTTGGAGAACCAGTTTATAAATTTGAAGGAATTTTGAAAAAAATAGACAGTGGTTGCCCCACTGAGCATGATCCAAAAAAGAATGGTCATCCATTGGCTTGTTTTGAGGATGACAGTGAGTGCAAAAGTAAACCGAGGATACTTAGAGCTGCTTCTCCTCACTATCCAATGCTATGCACTTTTCTGCGTAATATTTATCAAGCAATAAATTACGATGATGCTGTCAGTGTAATAGATCAAGCATTGAGTGAAGGAGATGTCGATGCTTTGATTAAAATTGCAACCGAGTCTGATCCCAGCAATGAAAAAAGTGATGTTGCCCAAATATTCTCATCTAGAGATAAGAGTGACAGCAACATAAATTTGAGGGATCCAGACTTGGAAGAAAAATTGCTGAAAGAAAATGTGAATCTGAAACCTGAGTTCCAAAAGGAAATCAGCGATCAAAACGAGCGTGTTTGTTGTAGCTCCAGGAGACTCATGAGACGTAGTAATCTGACCAAAGTCTTTAATAAGGACAAAGAGAGTGAGGCTTGGAGAGAACTAGAAGCCTTCCTCACTGATTATGATCCAGATTTTGATAGCAAGCAGCTATTAATGTGCAGGCATTGTAAGCCAATAATATGCAACAATAGAATTCCTGCCAGATGTGAATTAAATGGGTTGCAAAGTACCAGACAAGCTTAAAGGCCTTGACCCCTTTAGTACACAGTTAATTCAATTAGCAAAATGCTTCCAAACTGTTGTTAAATTGGGAACTTACACTGCTAAAGTCCCAATAAAGCTGAAGGACATCAACTGGCTTGACAGAAAACTTGACAATGAATCTTTAGACGAAGTAGCAAAAAAGTTGTCGAAACAGCCAACAGTACTATGATAGAGGAAGCAACCGATGGAGACATTCTAGGCTTCCAGTCATATACAATTCAGAACATGAATTCCAATTTAAAGAAGGGGAGCGACATCCAGCAATACAACATGCAGAATGTTAGGGAAGACCTACTTGATAACAGACAGATACACTTGGATGTCATGTGCTTTCCCACTCTGTTTCCAACGGGAAAATTTGGAGAGTATCATCACAGAAATGTGAAACTAAATTTTGCTGAGTACATTAAATCTAGAATTTTGAGTGAAGACTCTCCATATCAATTGTGCCACTCTTACCTTTCCTATTATCTAAAGTTCAAGCAAATCAAAGAGTTAGAGTGGCATATTTAAACTGCTCAATACAGTGAGAGGTCCTCCTATGACTGCTGCACAGTTCATAGACCAGGTCAAAACAAATGGAGAATACTAGGAAAAGAGGCTCTGTACCATGATCAACACTGTTCGTGGTTCAAAGCAGTACTAGTACCTGAGAAGGAGTAAAGTGAAACGCATAACAGCAGAGTTCGGATCTCCCACTTTTTTTCTCACTTTTAGCTGTGCACAATACTATTCTAAAGACATAACACAATACTTGCACAAAGTAAACACAGTCCCACTAACGTATAATACTGGCAAACTATGTACAGAAGATCTAGTATCTGTATCGAGACAGTTTTCTCTAAAGTTTAACAAAATGTTTAATAAAGTTTTAATCAAGGGACAGGTTTTGGGCCAGGTTACAGAGTATTATTATCAAAAAGAATATCAGGCCAGAGGAGCTCCTCACTATCATTGTTTAATTTGGATAGCCAATGCTCCAGTTGTCGGTCAGAGTAGAGCCGAAGATGTTATTAGATTTATCGATGAAAGAATAACTTGCCATATACCAAATAAAGATACCTGTCCAGAGTTGAATGAAGTTGTTACAAGGTACCAGTTACACAAGTGCAGCAATTACTGTAGAAAAAGAGAAAGTTTAGTAAAAACGTATTTGTTACAAAGTGCAACTTTGGCTTTCCTTGCCCAGTTTCTGAAGGCACTTTGCTAAACAACATTGAACAAAGCATGAAAGCAGAGAAAAGGAAATATCACCTTAACATAGTGAAGGAGAAGCAAGAGTCAACGAATACAATCCTCTGCTTCTATTATTATGGAAGGCTAATATCAATGTATCGTTTACCAGAGAGTGTTCTCTAGCTCCGGCCGATCATGTGAGTGGCTACGTGACTAAGGCTGAAAGGTGTCACATGCAAGATCTGTGTCAGGACATTTTAGATGATAGAGGGCTATACAGTAAATTGTTCAGAATTGGCAAAAGATGTCTTGATAGCCGATTCATCGGATTATATGAAACTTGTGATATATTACTTGGTGAGCCTCTTTGTAGAAAATCAAGGACATAAAATGGATCGATGTAGACATGCCAATGAGAGATCAAGAAATATAACAATGAAATGAAGTGAAGTTAAAGAGATAGCAGTAAATGAGCCATCAATGAAAGACTTTCATGGGGAGGGCCTCGTCACTCACTTTTATCCAAACAGACCCCCGAAAGATAAAGAATATCGCCTTTACAATTTTGCAGCCAAACTGACTTACAATGGCAAAGATAAAAATGGCCAACAATGCTATAGAGAACTACAGAAGAAAAGTGTCTTGTGGCCAATAAAAAATTCAGAAAGTTGCTCAAATGCAGAGAGACTTTAAAACACACAAGATGCCAGAGCAGCCAATAGAGAAGATGAGTATAATGTGGAAAACAATGATCCACAGTTGATGTGACAGATTAAAGATGCAATGAATGATGTGAGAGATATGGACACTGGGTCTCATCTAACTCTACAAGAGTAAGAATCAATACTAAATAAAAATCAAAAGTGCATCTTTGATCACATAAAAGCTCATATATTGAAGCAAATTAAATACAAAAAGAAATCTCAACAAAAGAAAGAGCAATCAGAATGTGTAAAGCCTTTACACATGTTCATCAGTGGTGTAGGAGGCACTGGTAAATTTTTTCTTATTGAGGCAATTAAAGCACTAGTGAAAAGTATCTGGTCAACACTGACCAAACAGACATGAGCAGTTGCCGCTCTAACAGGTTTAGCAGCTTATAATGTGGGAGGTGTAACGGCACATAGACTGTTTCAGCTACCAATAGAACACAAAGGACAGTGTGCCTCATATTGGTCACTATCCAAGACTACTCACAAAGTAACGAAAACTGAACTTCAAGATCTGAAAATGGTAATCATTGATGAAGTGTCCTTGGTTTCTGGCCTTAATTTGATTTATATACACATGAGAATGAATGATTTATTTGAATCAGACAAATGGTTTGGTGGTAAGAATGTCCTCTTTGTTGATGACATTCTTCATTTGCAACCAGTTCGTGGTGAACCAGTGTTTGAACAAGTAACAGCAAAAACATTGAAATACAGACTTGGTAGTATGGGTGCAGTAAACATATGGCGTGATACTGTCACCTATTACAATTTGTCTATAAACGAAAGAGAAAAAAATGATCAGAAATTTTCTGAAATGTTGGACAAAGTGGGACGTGGCTTTCTAAACAATCAGACTCTTGCTACACTTTCGGAAAGAGTATTTTTAATGCCCATTTCGAACAAATTTAAAATATTACAAGAGGCTGGTAATGCTCCTGTTTGCCGGTTTCCTAAAGTAGATATGTGCAGAGAATTTAATGAGGAAATGCTAACTGATCTACCAAGTCCAGCTAAGGAAATAGAAGCCACAACTTTAATCGATGCAACTGTTACCATATGTAGAAAGGGTGACAATTTAGAAGAAAAGGTTACGAAAAATTTGTAAGAACTAAACAAGGATGTTAACAATACAAGTGGTTTAGAAGCCAACTTAAAATTGGCAGTGGGGGCTAGAGTAATATTGCATTGCACTATAAGTGTTGAAGAGGGATTAGTAAATGGAGCACTTGCTACAGTGCAGGCTATTTCTGCAACACACATAACAGTTAAATTTCACAAAATAGCTAATCCTTGTGAGATTGAACAAGTAAAAAGAAAGTTTATGGTAATGAAAAATGTTTTTGTGTATAGAAGTGTAGTTTCTTCAGCAAAATCTCGGGAACCCAACACTCATCTATCTGGA